GAGATATTTTGGGATATTTTTAATTAATTGTGGTACTGATGAACCGTAATCTCCAGCAAGAAAATTTGATACATGTGCCTTTAACAAAGTATGATTTCCATTAAAATATTGTGCTAAGTTCAGGGTTTATAGCTTGCTTGTTCAATAAATTTGCATTTAGCTATTGTCTTCCTCAGTCTGCAGGGGAAACATCGCGTATCGGGCAGATGCTCAGACATCAGAACAATTAATGTAGCTTTCAGAGAGAAAAAAAAAACAAAAAGAGAACAGCTTTAAATCTCTTGTGCCTATGCAAGCACCGACCACCCTACATGTGACCATAAAAATGCACAGTGGTTCGATGTGTAGTTATGTTAAGCTATAACCATAACCAAAAGCCATGACCAAGAGGGTGAACCAGAGAATCCTTTTATTCTCTCCCCCTGATTCAAAAGTGCTTTCAACAGCAAGATTTTCTATTCTGCAATGCTGTCATACAGCCACCCAAGCATAATGACCTGATCCACTATAAATTCCTTGAGGATAGGGCCCCATCCATGAATTTCCATAGAGGTAGCAAAATTCCTTTGCAAAACTCAGTCAATACCATTCACATTATGTCTAGCTAAGATATATAAATATTCGTATGTCCAGGTAAGAATTAGCCCATAAAAGAGGGCCGTATATACTGGAGAAATCAAACAGCTTCACTCAACTTCCCAGAAATTTCTCAGACACACACATAACTAGGAGAGAGTCTCTACCCAAAAGAGATTATGATCCTTAGACTTTGGGTATGTTTTTAATATATAGCCCCATACAGCCAGCAGCAGAGACACTGCTAAATGCACAAGGAGCACTAGGAGGGAGCACGCATAGAGGAAATGCAAGACCTCTCTGGGCCTTTAACAGCCCTTTCATCTCAAAGCAGCAATGAGTTCCACAGGTTTTTTGCATTTACTGAAAAGATAAGTACTAAGTAAGGGAAAGGTTTTCAGAAGAGCAGAAACTGAAGCAGAATCTGTTAGATGCCCTGAGATGAGGACAAACCTGGGTGAACAAGAAAAGAATGGGGGGTAAATCCAGAATATATGAAACAAAAGAGACTGGCATATTTTGTATGCAAATGGAATAGACAGACACAGACATAGAGATGAAAAGATAGGGAAACAGGAGATAAGAGAAGGACTGAGATGAGGACAAAAGGCAAACAGGTCTTTGGGACTGATGAGGAAGCGCTAGAGAAACATTACCAAGGCTGACCTCCACATTGAGGGCTGAATCAGGGACACTTAGGAAATCATTTAATGGATCTTACCAAGAAAGAGCTTAATATAGGTTAACAATGGGGAGCTAAACCACCGATGAGAAGAATAACTACCTGAAGTCACTCTCCAATTTATGACTGATTCTTTGTTAATTTCAATCTACCTGGAGCACAGCTTTTGGCTCCAGGTATGTGGAAAGAGAGACCATACCTAGAAACTTTATGACATATGTGATCCCCATGCAAATTTCAAAAACAGAACAACTGAGTAAATACCTGGTCTGTTAGCCTACCTTGTGCTGTATGTTGGTGCTGCGACTCAGCTAGCATTTACCAGCTGCCTGAAAAAGTCTGTATAGAAAAGCATACTCAGATATAGCCATACAAACAGCCAACATTACCACTCACACTCCCAGTTTTAATAGATTATGATCGTAGAATCACAGAACAGTTTGGGTTGGAAAGGACCTAAAGATCATCCAGTTCCAGCCCTCCTGCCATGGGCAAGGACACCTCACACTAAACCATGTCACCCAAGGCTCTGTCCAACCTGGCCTTGAACACTGCCAGGGATGGAGCATTCACAACTTCCCTGGGCAACCCATTCCAGTGCCTCACCACCCTCACAGTAAAGAATTTCCTCCCTATATCCAATCTAAACTTCCCCTGTTTAAGTTTTAACCCGTTACCCCTTGTCCTATCACTACAGTCCCTAATGAAGAGTCCCTCCCCAGAATCCCTATAGCCCCCCCTTCTGATACTGGATATTTACAGTTTTACATACTGTCAACACATCCTGCATTTGGTACTTGCTTAGCTGTGCTCTATACATTGAAAACTTAGCCTTTCCTTAGAAATCAGTTTCTCCCAAACTACTAATTGCAGCTACTTCTCCATCTCTAATTGCAGCTAATTCTGATTTCTCATTAGGGGATACCTTCTTCACAGTATCTGCAGTCCAAAACAGCATCATCATCCATTCTTCTTCCATATTATCACACTGCAAATAAGTTTAATCATTCTACTTTTCTTCTTAGACACACACTTCCCATATTGACAACTTCTGAGGTGCATGTTGATCACAGAAATAGAATATATCACGAAATAGAACAGAAGAGAAATAGCATAAATCATGGCCAGAACATGGAAAACCTGAAGATGTTCCTAGTCTATCTTGTTGCTGGAAAAATTGGAAGTATGAAACACGCAGTCTTCAAGCCTGGGATGCAATTAAAGACCTAAACCACAATTTTTAAAACCACCTTAGTTTTTGTTGTTGTTATTAGCTGTTTATCGTCCTTCTAAATCCATCTGTGTCACTGCCCACCCTCACTATCCACAGTGGCTATTACCAGTCAGGAACAGACCATGTCAGTTAAATTCAGCCCAGAAATGAGCATGGTGAAGAAAATTCAGTGGAGTAGGCACATTCTGCTTTGGATAATTAGTCAAAGAGTGAACTGATACACTGACAAAAAGGTAAAATATTATCAAGATATTCTGAGTCAACTGTTTTAACCCATCTTGTAAAAGCAAGCCACTGGGAAAGCAGGGCACCTACAGAGTTTTTCAACATCCTAGGGCAATGCTGCAACTCTGAGCTCAGAAACATAGCTTCTGTAGCATCCAGGCCAAACCTACACCCTCCTTGGATATATAAGGAAGCACCATCCCGAGAAGAACATATTTAACCAAGGGACTGACCTGCAACACATGCAGTGCTGTGCTGCATTAACCTTACAAGCAGAAACCTTGCTTGAAATGCTTAGGATCTCACAAGTAGTCAGTGAGGCACAGATTTGGTGGTCCAGAGGATGGCTCACAGTTAAAACCACATGTGACATCTTCTGAAGTTCAAAAGGCTTCAACTGAAGCAGAGCAAGAACCAGGAAATCCTTTCTTAGTGCCATGATTTAAAGGAAAATAAAGAAAACCCTTAAGTGTGAAGTTAGTTGCTGAGCTAGAGCACAGACATTTACTCAAGTTCTGCCATGCCTTTTGCACAGAAGACTGCAAATGATGCTGACAGCTAAACTGCTTGTCCCTGGGCTCTCTTTAAAGTCCTCCTGCAGAGTCCTCAACAAGCATAAGGCTCCCACAGATGACAGTTAAATTACAACTTAATTTCAATGACGTGCAGCTCCGTTATTTTCTCCATACCAATAATAACATGCACCTACATGTGGCCTGGCGAAGGTGTTTGAAAGACCAATTCTGTCTCAAACAACTGTTTCCAGATTTGCTCACCTCTATATTAAAACACTGACTTTTATACAACCTTCTCCTGCATACACCCATCTGCTGAATTGCTCTTGGGTCACTCAAACACAGTTTTACAAGATCAATGCCAAAAAGAATATGGGCTAATCTTTCTTTAAGGCACAAGTGAGATCTGAGGCACAGTTCACATAAAGCACTGTAATTTGGCTCTTTGTGCACTTCTGGCCAAAAGCATCAAACATTCATTAAAAAGTATTTAAGAAAGAGAATACCTATGGGGAAATACTAAATTCTCATGAGGCAACACAAACCAAGCCACAAAGCAGAGACCAATTCAGAGATGCAGGCTCCAAAAACAGCAAATAGCATAAACAGAACAAACTGATTTCTGCTCTCACCAAAACCACCATAAATCTGTCTTGAGGTTAGCCAAGAATAAGCAGGAGAAGATCCCAGGCAAGTAACACTTGCTCTTCCCTGGACGGTTTCCAGTCTAACACCCAAGAAGGTGTATTTTCAACTCAGATACTATTATAAACACTCATTTTACCAATAAACATGGCTTAGCTGCTGTTTATACCAGGTACCTAATTAACTTTAGCTTCAGTCCAAAGGAGGTAGAAACCATTTAATGTACATTTAGCAGTGATAAAAATAAATCTGTAAATGAACAGATGTGGCCCCTGATTTGGATGGGATATTTCTAAAATATTAAACAATCCTTTTCATGATATAAATAACGTGAGTGTAATTGAATTAATATTGACTAATAGTAATTGCTCCTTGTTCCTCAAGTCTGCCTTTTATTAGTGGGAGGAGTGGTGGAGGTTATTGCCTCTTAAAGAAAAAATCCTGAGGCCCTGAGGCACCTTTTCTGCCTTATTATTATTGTAATAATGAGGGCAACTGATTTGATCTCTCCTTACACAACACTGCAGCACAGCGATGGCTAAATAAACAGCCAAAGTCCTTTTGTCCCTGTGGGCTGTTTCTCGGTAATTAAAATCAATAGGATCTTTCTCAGAGGATCTCTTTAACCTCATACAGCTACACTGTTCCGAGCAGGCAATGTAAAACAAACAAATGAACTCGCAGTCCTTGTTGAGGTAAATAAATAAATAAATACAAGCAAGACATTATTTCATTAGGATAATATTGGTTTTGGAGAGGGGTCGTGGAAGAGGCTGCATTTAAACCGGCAGGATTTTTTATTTCTTTCCTCCTTTTTCCCCCCTTAAAAAAAATATAATACACTATATTATATAGTGGCAGCATCCACTATTCCCAGAGGTCACGTGAGCTGAAATATTCCATTGATCTTCCTTTTTTCAGGAAGGGAATAGGCAATAGAGGGAAAATAAACATCACCCACTTGAGACTTGTGATGACTCAGGACCTCGCTGTGTAAGGTGCTGTACATTTAAGGTCCAAGAGGAAAATAAGTGAAGGTCCCCAGGGTTTCACTGTTGCTGGTGTATGCAATTGCAGCCAAGGACAGAGCAAGCTACAGAAGCTCACATCCCTGTGTTGATGGTGGTAGTATCACTGGCACTGCTTCCAGCGAGTTATGGTGATGACCAGCATGACGCATACAACAGAGAGAAAGGAAAGGATTTATATCACATCTCTCGGGAATCTTGAATCCTGAGCTCCGAATCAAGGCTGGGTGAAGCAATTAGGCTGCATGACAGGTGACAAGAGCGAACCCTATCCTGGTCAACACAAGCAAGAGAATTTTGTATTGGAAAACATAATGCTGCTTAATGCTTCTTTGGGACAAATCTGCTCAGTGATCCCTTGTCCAGGCACACAGTGAGATGAGATGAGCTTCTGGCTGACCCAACAGCAGCCTCTCCTTTCTGACTGCTCCCCAGTGGATTCATGAATGAGGGGCTGCTTTGTACTCATGATGGGACACGAAAACACTTGAACAAATCCTGGATCTAAGCCAACCAGCATTATCACCAACAAGAGCAGGAGTGAATCCATCCCCATTAGCTGCCTTGCAGTCCTGACATTGCCACTAGAAGCAATACAAGTCCTAACATCCATGCAAGGAAGCAGTGCTTAAAATTATAGAATTGTATAGGTTGGAAAAGACCTTTAAGTTCCTCCAATCATCAGTTAAAAGTAGGAGGCATTGTTCTTGCCTATCACATGCCAGAAAATCTTCTTTCTGAACAGCAATAACACCTTCAAAAGCTGGGCAGCAGCTTGATCTTTGCAGGTCAGGTGGTGAAAAGGAGCCATAACCACAGAGATCTCTCAAGAGCTGAGGAAAAAAAAAGTGTTGCTCAGTGAAGGTTTCCTTAGATTCTGCTCATTCTTGAATTAGAGTAGTATTTAGAGAGAGATCCTGCCCATAACTAAGCAATCTGCAGGCAAGGCTGGAAGAGATCTACAGCCCTAAAACCAGGCAGGACTGAACCACCAGCACAAAAGAGCAGAAAGGAGACACATCAGACAGGTACAAGGCACATTTGAGTTCTCCGAGTCAAAAGCAGAGGCAACCATCTGTAGAAACACAGTTCCCAGGTCATGTCCCACCTGTGAGATGCTCAGCTGGGAGGTAGGGTGCATTCTTTTTCCTTTTTCCAAACCCACATGTGTAACAGTGACCAATCTTAAGGTGCCCACACTGAACTGCAGAGAATTAGGGCTTGGGAGCACCATGCAGAGTCATCAGACCTATAATGCCCTCCAAAAGCAGGGTCAGATATATCTGTGTCATTCCTGAAGGATGGTTATCTGTCTTACTAATCATCTCAAACATCAGAAAACCCAATGCATCCTTAGCCAGCTTATTCCAGTATTTTGCCATCCTTAACTGTAAAAAATTCTCCTAAATTTCAGCACTGAATGCAACTTGAGCCCATGCACACAGCAGTAATTTCCTCATCCCCTGCAACAAGATGTGATATGTAATATTTGAAGGCTATACCAGTGTTATTTAGCCCAAATAATGACATATATTTAAAAATAATTAATAAGGGGGTTTGATCATTTTATTAGTGTGGTTCTATTCCCTCCCTAGTTGGTCTGTCCCTTTCTTGGACCGAAGTATGCATCTTGGAGCCCCTACTCCAATGAAGCATTTAGATGCCTGTGATGAACTGCTTCTCCTTCCTGGCAATAAGCTTTGAGTGGCTGCTCTTGTCAAATTGTGTGCATTGCTGACCCACTTCAGCCCTCAGGAAGTGAGGACAGCCTTTCACTAGGGCATATCAATGCTTAATTCATAAGGACAGCAGAGATTTCTTTACTCCCTTAAATTCCTACAAATTTTAGGTTATTACAAGATCAAGATGTAAAGAGCTGGTCTCAAGTGAAAGCAGCACACCATTGGCACCATTATTTTTTATTTAAACAGCCTATTCAAAAAGGCCTTTTTCCTCTTGTTTCTATCACCTTGTTTGTTCTTACTGCTGTGGATTATATTACCATTTCATAAAGCGTTTAGTTTACTCTGTAAAGCATTTTAGGGCACAGCTGAGGGAAAGGTGCTTAAATGGTTCAAAATTCTTCTCCTAAAAACAACTCTATTTATTCCTGTTTTCACTATTCACGCTGCTAAAACTCCTGCGAATGGAGTATTTTTGTGAACATAATATTGACTTCTTTGCCTTTTGGCTACACAGGCATGAAAAGGATATGTAGTACATATTTAAAGCCAAAACAATTGGATACAAAGGAAATTATGTAGAAGCTGATTAAAGATAATGGAACTCTTGTGAATAAAATTGCATCTCACTTACCTCCATGCATGTTATAGACAATTATAGGTTAAGTGTGCAGAAAGCTGGTACTTCTGGTTTCAGCTCAGGGAAACTCTTATTGCTATAATTTGCCTGAAAGAGGAGATGAGCTGAGTTCCAGCTCCTTTTGCATATAAAGGAATTAATTGATTGTGTTTAGGCTGTGCTCAGTAGATGATATCGATTCTCTGGTTTGTGGTGCTCAGTTTGAAGACATCAGAGTCCAATGAATGCAAACAGCTGGGGGTTGGGTATGAGAAACCACCCAGGGGTTCTAGCCAAGTGGTGTGGAATTTGGGGCAAATTGGGTCTTTTTGGGGTGTAGTTTTTTTAAAAGAAATAATCTACTAATTAGTTAAAAATACACAGCTAAACTTTGTTCTAGGTAATACCTCAAACGTGGACTATGCTACCATTTCCTTTCAACTCATATTCATTATCTGAAAGACAAGTGGAATACCATATCTCAAACAGCCATCAGATTGCAGCATTGCACAGAGGGCAAGATGAGTTTGGGAGCAGGAGTTACAGACTTCTTGGTAAGATACGAGTTTCTGTAGATGGGTGGCTATTTTGTACTCTAAGGCTTTCAGTTCATCTAAAGACCTTCACGCTTGCAGATGGAATATCAGGCAGCTGTTATTACTCAGCTTAGCCTTTCTATTTGTGTTTGTTTGCATTGTCTGAATTGAAGAGTGCCCATGTTAAACATGAGCAGCAGCTTTGTATTACGATTCTGCTACTACAGCAATTGCACCTCTAAAGATATTAATCAGTTGACTGCATAATTTATATAAGCAAATTATTTCTTGAGCTCTGTGGCAGCCATGAAGCCTGCCCTTTACAACAGTACCCACACAGTGCTCCAGCAAGCCTGGTGGTGTGACCCACCAAGAAACTAAAACCCAATGATCATTCCCTCATAGCCAATCAAGCTACAAGTCTGCATAGACTGCCCAAAAGATGGTACAAGCGTAACTTCCCATCCAGCAGAGCAGCCACTCTGAGAAGTTGCAGCAAACAATTTACTTCCCCCACTTTGGTACACTCATGCATCATTGACTCTGTCTCTGATGTGCTCTGCCACTCATGAGTGATCTGGTCATTTCTAACTCATGAAAATAAATTGTTTATCTGCCTCCAAGTTGCACAGCCTCTGTACCTATAGATACTCAGAGACATGGAGGGTATTCTGTATCTTGCATGGAGCTCCCCCACAGGGCTGGCAGTATCAGACCCTCAGAAGAGAGACAAAAAAGAAAGTAACTTAAGAAAACAAATACTTCAATAAAGAGACCAGACTATTTGCTTATGCTTCTTCGCTCCAGACCCACAATTACCCCACAGAAAATAAGGTAGATTTAAATTGTTACTGAGTAAAAACTCCCTATGATTTTGAACTACTAGCAGCACTTTAAACCCCTGCCAAAAAGTGCAAATAGCCATGCAAAGCAGGGCTTTAGACTTTGGAAGCGTTACTCCTCAATTACAGTAATGCAAGTGAGGACTGAGTACACCAAGCAGAGTTACAGACTTCGCAATGAGCCATCTCCATATCTACTGACCTCTATAACTTGGTACATCCTTAAGGACAGCATTTGCTAGGTAGATGTATAAACTCACATGGACTTTATGAAGTGAATACCCTCTGTTTCTTGTTCAACCCTGTCTCACTGTATTTAAGCCATATTTCTCCACCTAAATTACCAGTAAGATGGCAACACTTTAATTTTCAACCTGAATTTGTGCAGGACAAGAAATTTCAGCCAATAAAGCCTCTCCCCTAACCTGCCTTACAACCCCTCATGGCTTTTCAGACTTAATTTTCTATAGATTGCTTGCCCACTTGAGAGGAGAAACTTGAACACTCCCAGCCTGAAGAGCCAAGTGCCAGCAAAAAGATATCAGGATCGTTCACCGCAGCCCCTGGATGCAAGCTTAACTGCTACTGGCTGCTTTTAGCACATCAATGTGAATTACTTGACTGGTGAAACTAAGCAGCAATTAAACACCTCACCACTAAGTGGAAATGAGAAATTTACCGTTTGGTCTTCAGATAAACTGGAGCCTCCTGTGAGCTACTGTTATCAAACCCCAGGGAGGACTGGTTAGAGTGAGAACGGTCTCAGTTTGTGGCCAAAAGGGGAAATATTTCTAGTGAAATAGAAATCAATTTTTATCATTCTCCCCTTGTGGTTTTTCTTGAGTGCTGATAGCAAAGGCCATGAGAAGGGAAAGGTGTTGAGGTTTAACCGAGATTACACCTGGAAGCAACAGTTGTACTGCTCAGTTTTAGTTAAGGACACGGGATGGGCAAGCAGCCAGGCAAAGCCCTCTCCATTTCAGCAGTCATCTTACTATGGGACAGAAGCAACTGAAACTCCATTTGCACACACGAAAGGAGGCAAGAAGAGAGAAACAGCCCTCCTCAGAAGTATCAAAATTTCAGGAAGAAGTACACTTCTGCTCAGACAGACCCTGGATTTATTCTTAAGATCGCTGAGGATTGGTGTTGTAGGAATTCTCTTGCTCAGGCCAGGAGAGATGCCCACATTGAAAGCTTGGCTAGGTGACACAGCATGCAGCAAGTGCTTGCTTTGCAGTAATAAAGCCTCTCTCAAAGATTTCTGGAGCTGTCTTGACCAAGTTCATGCTATTCTTTAATGAATGACTTAATAAACTACTAGGGAAAAGTGTTTCTGCTGTTTCCTGTTGGTCCTTTTCTCTTTGCCTATCTATGTCTAGGATCTCGACGAAGACACTAATGTATTGCAGTAGCTGCCAACAGCCACTCGATGTTATCTCACTTTCTCCTTGCTCCTTCCTGAGGAGTTTCTTTCACTGGTTTTGATCCAAATTCTACTATTTTCCACACAGTTACAGCAGACTACACAGAGAGGAAAGGAGAAGGAACACACAGGGGAAAACTGGTGTCAACTTGTAAACCATTGCATGGTCCACATAATAGTGACATGGTTCTCTTTCATTGACCTGGATCTTTAACAGGCTGTTATCAGAAGTGTAGTCTTCCAATGTGTCCTCTCTCCAAAGATCGTTTGTTGAGAAACTTTTCCAAGGACTATTGTTGCTAAATTGTGCCTCTCCTTCAATTGATTCACAAAAGAACAGCCTTTAATATCCCGCATGGTGCAGTGCTGTCTGATCATAGGACACAGTGATCCCATCAACTTTCCTCCTCTTGGGCAGGCTCACTTGGGCACCTACTGTTCAGGCTAGGAAAGGTTAATGCAAACTTATGTGCTGCTTTCTTGTCCTGTGTGATTCACATCTGGCCATTTTACCAGCACCTACCTGACACCTGGACAAACAGCAGTTACTGGGAGGTACTGAAACCACACAGCTATAACAGAGTAATAGGTGAATTCTTATGTGCCAAGAATGTAATTTGTGATGTTTCTCCACCTGCCACTCACATACACACACTTTGTACATACGTTATGTGACTTCAAAGACTATTTGTCACACAAGAAAATTACTTAGTTAAAAGGTATTCCTCAAGTCACTTACAATGAATGTAAAGCTTTGGAGAGTATCTTAGGTTTAACAGCAACATATAGGTTTTTTCCTAGGTCTTGGTTGGTGATACTTGCTCCATACAGTTTTACTTAACTAGTGACGAGACTGAAGGCTGTGCTTCATTGATACAAGTCTGTGATTCTCCACTCACAAAAGAGGCTAGTACTTGGATTTCCATAACAAAAAAACACATGTAGATAATGCAGTGAGAGACTGGTCCCACAGAATGAGTCTGATTCATTCCACCTCACTATAAGAAAGGCTCTGAGGTGCTGGATCATGTTCATAGAAGAGTAACGAAGCTGGTGAAGGGTCTAGAGACGAAGTCTTATGAGGAGCAGCTGAGGGAACTGGGGTTGTATAGCCTGGAGAAAAGGAGGCTGAGGGGAGACCTCATTGCTGAGGTAGAGGTCAGTCTCCCAGTTATCAAGCAACACGACAAGAAGAAATGGTCTTAAGTTGTGTCAGGGGAGGTTTAGATTGGTCATTGGGAAAAATTGGGTTGTCAAGCATTGGAACAGGCTGTCCAAGGAAGTGGTTGAATTACCATCCCTGGAGGTATTTAGACATGTAGATGTGCTGCTTAGGGACATGGTTTAGTGGTGAACTTGGCAGTACTAGGATAATGGTTGGACTCAATGATCTTAAAGGTCTCTTCCAACCTAGATGATTCTATGATTTTATTCTTTGGCACCAAACTAGCAAAATCATTGTCAAACAGACACAAATCAGTGCTTTGTGACACAACTTACCCATTTGTTAACTCTAGCAAAATGCCTGGAAAGAGGTAGATACTATTGCAAACTGCATAGGGAGATTCTCTGGGGGACAAGATTCTAGTCGAGGTGGAAGGTCCAGTAACCAAGAGACTAATGGTGAAGATCCACAAGATACTTGCATTGATCCAAGAATGCTGTAAGGTTTCCCACAGTTGGGATCTAGATATCATGATTTTGCAGGTGTTGATTCAACTGGATAACCAGATGAAAATGAGGATTTGTTTGCGGTTGGTTTGGTTTTTCCTTTTTGTTTCAAATCACACAGCTGCAGGAGAAATGACAAGAACATATGGCTGGGAGTGGGAAAAGCAGAAGCTCATAGTTTGCTCAGGTTTAGCTGTCATGTAAGGCCACAGTCCTTTGGCTCCCAAGCCAGTCATGGATGAGGGCAAGGCTTGAACTTCCCACCTGCTATGTGCAGCCACACTGAGTTTATGCAGTGACTGGCATAAGAGGACCTCATCTCATTTGCTCGTATCAATATCAGACAACACCTGGAGCCTGCTTAAAAAGCTAACGCTACTACTCAAAACCAGAGTTGAGCTGAAGAAATGGGCCGTGACAGCTAATGCATTTCTGCGTAGTTTTGAACCAATTCTGCATGGAATTGTAAATTCTGAGACTGACAGCCCAAAAATATGATAGATTGTTCTGCATTTATTAAGGAATTTACATTCCTTCATGTTTTTAGGCAACTGATTTCACTGTGACGAGCAGGTGAGCATTTTAACGCAATTGCTCAAGCATCTAAATCCTTCACTAAGTGGGTTCTTAATTTTCATGCACATTAGCATCAGTTCCTTGATTTTACACAAGCTGTGCAGAGAACAGAAAGACATCAGGAAAGAGGAGTTAACACAGCCTACCTCCAACATCTACAACATAAATGCTACCATGTGAGATAGTGACAATCTCTCTGTATTGCCAGTATCTATGTCTCTCTACTTTTGTGGATAGGTGCATCTGAAATATTCTAAACAGCTATTTTATGATAATTCATGCCCTAGAAATCCCTATTTTCCTCCCCTTTAACTGAAGAGGAAGCCAAGGGTGGCAAGACCAGCTGTCTCTGTCTCCTTCTGGACAAAAGAATTCTGTTCCACATATCCAACTACAACAGGCTGCATTTTAAATTTCACACACAAAATATCCTCAGCCCAGTGTCTGCAAACAATAAGTAGTTATAAATTATACCATGTAGCCCAAGAAGTCAGCCAGCCATGAAGCAAAGGCAACCCTCCCTCTACAAATAACAGGGATGACCTTTTCTACAGCAAGATATAATGCACCGCCAATGTTCAACATCTTAAAGTAATTTCTGATCTTTGATAATAGAGTACCCAGGACTTGGGCCCAGTCTCCAGAAACACTCAAAATGCTGAATTCCTATTGAACAAGTGCTCAGAACTTCACAGGATCAGCAACAACAACTTTCTCAAAGATGTGATGGGCCTTTCATGTTTTTAACTCTTTTGAAGGTACTGAGTACTCATTGCTCTATAACAGCCCAGGTCCAAATCCCAGCTGAATTCCTGACCTTATTCAATGCAGAAGGTAAATTTGTATCTTAGTTATGAAAAATGAGTTTGAGGGCCAAAAGTGTCAACACGGATGCAAAATCTGGTTTTCAAAGTATATATTTTCTTGGTCCTAAAACATGACGTTCATGTCCCATAAGCACTGCTGCTGCCTTCCTGCACAGTCAAGGATATCACCTATCTGCATTCGACTCTCCACTGCTCAGCCAGCACACACCACAGCTACATGGGTTCTGCATGGGAAAATCCACCTTTTGCACATACATACTGCTTGTAACCCATTTGTGCCTTCAAATAAGACAAAAAAAGGGTTTAGTGTTCATTTGGCTATAAATACTATTTTCCATGCGGCACTCTGGTAGCATGACTAGTCCAGGAACAGCACTATACTGTGCTTGACAGCAGCTCATTGGCATTATACCAATGTCAGGTGTATTTGGGAGGAAGTCAGAAACGTGCCATTGCTGTGCTTCCAAAACCCTTAAGCCAGAACTTCCACTAGTGCCAAACCATTAGATTACAGCTAAAAAAAATCAGTGAAAGCTTCCTCTTTCTCCTCATATTACATCAGGTCATGTGGCATCTATAGTTGATCTCTTTTAGTCATTCTTTCCCATCTCCCATTTAGCATCTTCCTCACAAAAAAAACAAGCAAGCCAGAACAAAATACAACCATGCTGCATCCAGATCTGCCCCTACCCTGCACAGCACCCGGATAGGCATCCCCTGGGATCAAAACACTGGAGCCAATGGGAGTTTTTCTGTCTGTGCCCAGGAATTTAGAGAAAATGGAAGAACAGACTTACAGCCCATCGGGTCCTCATAGCCAAATGTTTTTCCACATATCCTGGGATGGGAGGATGCCTCTCCTCTCCCCCTTTCAGCAAGGCAGCCAACCTGGAAGGAAGGGGGATGGAAAACTGAATCCCTGATTTAAAATCATTTCAGGCTGAGGTTTTGCCAGAGGAATCACAGCTGTGACATGCCCACCACTCTAACCATGGTGAATGAATCTGGCCATGAATCGTTAAGCTCCCCAAGCATCCAGCGCTCTCAGCCTGCTACTAATCACTCAGAAATCTGGCTCTCCGCTCTATTTGTCGTAAGAAATTGCCCCAATTCAAAAAGATGATCTGGAAGTTTAATATTAATCAAAACAGAGCATGTACCAGCAGAGATGCAGTTTAAACGTAACTGCAAGATAAAGGAAAATGATTGCGTTCACCAAATTCCACCCTGACATAAGAAAAATGCCTCACCAGTGTCAAGGCATAGCAGGGGCATTAACAAATCACCTCTTCCAAGCCACAGTGGGGGTGGAGCATGTGCAGAAATGGACTTGTGGTATTTTTTCTACCCAAGAGCTTTGTTGGTCCAGCCAAAGCACAAGTGGGCTGCAGCCATCAAGTGCAAACCTGCTCACTCCAGGGTATCTTACCTGACTGCAAATGCTGGATTTGTCTGAGTTATTATCCCTACTACAGTGAGAAATGGGAATTTCAGGGACATAATTCATCTCACCCTGAGGCAGATGCCTAGAACACATTAAGTGAAACATGTTTAAGGGTTTGGAGATAGGGATGACACCCAGCCATGGGGCTAGAGGTGGGAGCTGGGTGGTAACAGCACCCTGCTTCTCAGCAGGCTGAGATGAGTTGGGAAGCAGTGTCCTTAATTTGTAGTCTGGCAATATGTGAGCAGCTCAGCTCTTTGGAAACCCATTGCCCATTTCCAGCCAAACCTGCTCAGCCCATCTCTAGTTAATTAAGTTCTACTTTAAAACCAATAGCAGCAATGCCGGGCTCTGCAATTGTCCTCCAGTGTCAAAAAAATGATACATGTGTTAATATCCTGCACATTTTAGGCTCCGAGAAGCAAACTGACCCTGTGGAACAGTCATTAGTTGCTTTTTAATTAACTGCTCCACGTTTCCCCCCCAGATCTTTCAACAACTTGCAGAAATGGGGAAGTAAAGCTTCTTAGCAATAGACAGTAGTAGTTGTGTTCATATACCAGAACAACTTTTGTTCTCATGGGTGTTTGTCACGGGGCTGTCTTCCTTTTACCAGTACAAAATCTACACCAAATGGAGTTTTTAAAACAATGTAATGAGACTACTCACCATTAAACTCCCATCTTCATTAGTATCTCATTTCACTGCTGAATTTATATCCCCAAGCATCTTTAATTTATTGATTGTTTCTAGGAGGGTTTTTCTCCTGTGTTATTTTTCTTTCTATTAAGCATCAATTAGTGGAATCTGGGCAATAATTTGTATTCAGGTTTTGACATAGCAGGTTACAGACGTTTAAATGATTTTACTAAGCTGCCACCTGTGATCTCATTGGCAAAATACCAAAAACGAAGTCTCTGCTAAGACACAGGCACCTTTAAGGGCACACAAGTGCACCGAGCATGCAACTCAGACCCTGTTCCCCCTCTCCTGCCCAGGGCATTGAATGCAGATGATCAGGCAGCAGAAACCCAAACACCACTTGGAGTATCACACATATGTTTACCTCAGCAACCTCTTCCCATGACCCAATCCAAGGCTCATCATTATGGTATAGCATGTGCTGTTGGGAATGAAAACACTTGAAAGACCATGGAAAACCACTGCAAGTTCCTGCTGTGTGCCATTTACTGTCTTAGAGACAAAAAGTGACATGGAAAAGACACAAAAGAGAAACAACTGTCCTGACCCCCACAAGTAACAGCAACCAAGATCAGGACATCTTCAGCATGCATCCCCTCCACAAACTCACAAGACAGCTTTCCTTGCTGCTGCCAATGCACCCTAACTATGTCCCCTCAGAAAGGCAGGAGGTCTGCCATCAGTTTCACAACAAGCAGGATCAGGCCATAGACAGAGCTCTAAGGAGTTCTAAAATACCTAGCTAAAGCAGTAACCATCAAGACCTCATTTGGTCACAGTTCCAGGAACGGATTCAGAGTAGGCAACCAAAAGCACAACACAAATGTCCCCTTTTCTCCAGGAGCTAAATAGCAAAGAATCATACAATGGTTAGAGTTAGAAAGGACCTTAAGATAATCCAGTTCCAACCTCTTGCAATGGGCAGGGACACCTCACACTAAACCACGTCGCCCAAGGCTCTGTCCAACCTGGCCTTGAACCCTGCCAGGGATGGAGCATTCACCACTTCTTTGGGCAACCCATTCCAGTGCCTCACCACCCTCACAGTGAAGAACTTCTTCCTTATATCCAATCTGAACTCCTCCTGTTTTCGTTTAAACCCATTACCCCTTGTTCCATCACTACAGTCTCTGATGAAGAGTCCCTCCCCAGCATCCTTGTGACAATAGAAGAAGACAACATTTTGAAAGTGAAAAGCCTGGGAAGAGGCTTAAATGAAAACTTCTTAATGACTGAGGGATTTTTAATTCCCAAAAATTCAGGAACTACCAGCTCCTCAGCTCACTGTTGTTCTTCCAGCAGCAATTTGTTTGGGCCAAATCTTGCCTTACTACAAAGTAGAGCTAATCTTATGTTGTCCTTGGTTGCAGTCTTCCTTTTCTGTTGAACTGAGGTGAACAGCAGCATGGGCAAAATAAAAAAGAGAATAAAACCCCTTGATGAAAAACACTCCACTAAACATTAATATTACCATCACATATACAGCTTAAAAACCAACTTACTACACATTCACTGAGTCTATGCCCTCTGCTACCTGACACAACGCTCTCTTACTTCCCTCTGAGAAGATGGGAATGGGACACCCCTATCACTCCAAGCCTACCTCATTAGGCCCAGCAGGTATTTCTAGTTTCTTCCTGATCACCATTTCAGAGCCTGCTGGGAACAGAGCAAATAACTCTGGTAACAGCCTTAATTACAGCCTCCTGGCAATGCCTTCTGCTGGCTTTGTCAGAGGGGAGCTGCCCCCGATGTGGGAAACATCACTCAGGGTAGATGTGCAGCCTGTTTAGAACAAGAGGTTGCTCTGAGTCAGAATATAAGTGGGGAAAAAATCAATTTGGAAATAGAGGCTGTTCACAAGTAACACCTGAAAGGTCTTATAATAGAGTAGTACTTGCACCCACTCTTATCTGAATCAATTCTTAACCCCTGCCCTGGAAGGGGAGGCTCTGGTGCAACCCATTACCTCAGAAAGTCACCCTCAGCACATTCCCACTCGGCCATATGACAGCTCTGTACCCACAGCCATACCTGTGTTTGCCATACTATTGCTTCAGCAAATCTCCCTGGAGCTGTGCACGGATAGAGACAGGTGTTCATCGACAATGAAACACACAGTCCCAATCTAAATGTGCACAGCTACACAGCCACAGCTATATCACATCATGGAGAAATACACATCCACAGAGACTATAAGGTTTCCATATTCCCTCTTCCCTCCTTTCCCCATTCCCCCCTCAGCTAAATCAGAACCAGAGTGGCATTTAATCATGCGCTGGAGCCATCAGTGGCATAAACCAGTACAACCTGCACTGCTGTGGTATGGTTCTGGCTTCAGGGACTGGAGTGGTTCAGAAACACAGGAGTGTCTCTCTCTGACAGCTTCCAAGCCCAATGTTGATCAGAAAAGGCCCATGAAATTGAGGAGAAGAGGTTCAAGGAGATCCCCACCCTGAGTATTGCATGTCCTCTTCTGCTGGAAGATGTTTCACACCAATCATGTTGTAAACAACTTATGGGCTGAAGTAGCACCCACCCAAAAGAATTGAGGAGCCTCAAACATAGAGCTATGAAACCTTGACCCCAGAAGACCAGCAAAAGAAAGCATAAAACCACTCAGTTTCCTGCCAATAACCTTAGAGAGCAGCCCTGCAAAGCTTGACTTGTTAACAGCACACACAAAGCATCGCTCGAGGTTAGATATGACCCCTGGGAAAGGAACATGTCAAAGTGCTGCAGCAGCCTGCAACATTCCCATTTCCAGTTCACAAATCCCAAGGAGCTGCCAGAAATAAAGTGCTCAGCGGGCCCTAAGGCATCAAACCAAGCCCTCACTCCCTAGCAGGAACAGTACAGATTATGCTTTAAGTGAGCATGGCTAGATGGAGAAGAAAAAAATACCAGGAAGTGTTTTGATGAGTTTCTATGAACTTGAAAAATCCTATCATTGGCTATAAAGTCACCGAGGAGATTGTGAATGGTGATTGTGTGGCTCTACAAGGTAATTTATCTCCCTGACCAGTATTTCGCAAACCGTCTCCTGAGCTGCCCTTTGTTAAAACTAAAGATATACAGACACTTGTAAACCTTATCGAGGGGAAAACAACTCCGATAATTTTACACATTTAAATGAGAGCCAGGGTCTGAGCTTTTCCAGGGAATGAAAACGTCAGCTCTGCTGCTGGAGTCCAGTCACCCACGGAAGGGGGGCCGGGAACGGCAAAGCTGAAAAGTGACTTAAAAAATGATGCATGTGGCTGCTCCTGCTACTCCCAATTGTAGCAGGAAGCTGTTTACGACAGTGCTAATTTTCTCAAGAACTTTGCTAAGGCATGCATCCAAAAATACACATTATTTTTTTCTTCTGCAGCATTTCTCCAAGCATCGGACTCCACAGTCATCTGTATCAGGGGAAAGCAGTAAAGGAGTTAGTGACCTTTCAGGGGAAAAAAAAAGGTTGTTTTACTCAGTGTCAGATGTAAACTGCTCTTCAAAATCAAAGACTTCACCTTCTAATTACTACTTACTTCCAGGAACAGCAATTGAATCTTTGTGATGTTACATATAAATAAGAAACGTGGTTTCAACTCACATGCAATTGAAATAAAAAGCCAGGATTCAAATTCAAAGGCCCAGCATCCTCCCAGCTCCAAAGGGCAGAAACTTTCCTAGATTAGTTGGCAGAAAGTTGGGATAATCTCACAAGTTCAAAATGTTCTTGTGGAATTTCTATTCAATTGGGCACATCTGAACTGGAACCAGAAAATAGTCTTGGTAACCAACCTGGAACTGGATCAATAGAAAGTGGGGCTGATCTGAAGATTAGACTCTGAAACTCCTTAAATTTGAGAGACATTAGGTAACACTTTGAAATAACAC